GTTCCTTCATCTACAGAGTAGTAATATCCACTTAGGATGTTTTGGACCACTAAAGTTATCACATGTACAAAATTCAATATGTAGTAAGCACTCAATACATGTTGACTATAATGTTTTTCCTTGAGGTTCTGTCTTAGTACTAATTCTTCATTTTCAATTATGCTAATCAGTCTAGCTCTAGAGCATCCATACCTTTGCTGTGCTTTCCATGACAGCAAGCCTTTATCATTTTCAACTGTACTTAGATCTCCATTATCCTGGGGCCTCTTTCGAGCCTTCCCCCCTAGGAGAGCTTGTTTGAGCCATTGCTCTACTCGTCACCGTATGGTGTGTGCATACATGAAATATCTAACATGATTAATATAAAAAGAAACCTTGGTGATCTCTGTCCCTGTCTTGTCTCCTAGCACTTCTCAGGATAGGCCAAGTGTTTGCGATGCATTTTTTAATTCCAAGCCATTCTAATCAAAGTACCACTGTCTGAACCTTTCCTTCAATGTACCACTAACCTTTCCTCAGGTTAATTTTTCTTACCCTTACTTCTCATGTTGAAGTTTAAGTTGCCAACCTCTAGACTAACCAGTAGCATGAAAAGAATGTCAGCCTTTGCTGATTGGTTCAGCTGAAAACAACAGCATTGTCTGTGGTTAAGAACACAAACACTGAAAAAGAGACCCCCCCCAACCAAACTAAGAAAATGTATCTTCAATTAATTAAAAGAGGTAGGAAATAAATCTAGAAAATAGAAGGCTTCAGATATATTCTGCAGCTATTATAAGGAATTAAGAATCTTTCTTCATGAAGACTGGCCAGTAGCTTTCCAAATACTTAAGGAACATCCCACTCCTCCCCATATTCAGGTTTTTCCTTCCCTAGATAATTTGGATTGAATTTTTATTCCAGGACTGATGTGTTTATTTCTGCCAAAACATATGTGTTTTGCCCTCAGGTTAATTTTCCCAGATTTTTTGTGTGTATGTGTAAAAAAAAATGTCTATCAAATCTTCTTTATCCATGGATAAGGGGGTGGTAATGGGTGCTGTAACTATCCACAAATAATTGTTGTGTGCTTAAAACATTTACATTGGCAGCCAGAGTTTTTAAGTGCTTGCATCATACTGGCCATTATACATTTCTTGTTAGCCTTGCAGCTGCTCCTCCATAGGAGATAATTTTGGTTTATGAATGAAGAGGCAGGAGCGATGGTTAGAATTAGGTGGCTAAGAAATGAAAGAGCCAGAATGTGGACTCAAGAAATCTGACTTCGAGGTCATACTCTGAACTATTCCATTCTTTCTTCTTTATATGCCGGGCATTTGTAGACACTCTGGAAGCTTGAAGACACAGAAAGCCCAGCTTCTGGCCTAAAGTTCCATAGGACGTATGGAATGAGATCTTGAGACAGTACAGGTCAGCGCACTTGCGCCTGATAGAAATGAATAGATAGATAATGCCTATCACATCTGCTACTAAAGACTGGAATGGGAAAAACCTTCAGTTCCAGGAGGTGAGGTGGTCTTTGGGAGTCATTTTTATCTCAACATTTGCCTCCCATGGCCATGCTCAACAGAGAGTAATAGGGATGGGGACCATTTTGGCAAGATCTTGGGCTGTACATGAACTAAGCTTGAGTCTTTTCCTGATTGAGGACTTCTTATTCTACTTATCTAATGCAAATACTCTTTTGGCAAAATAAGAAAATATTTCTAAAACTAGTTGCCTGATTGTTAGTCTAACTAGTAAAGGGAGCCAAAACATATGTGCTTTGGTGTGACTGTTGCATAGCTGTAGATCCTTGAGGGACAGTCCCATGCCATTGTGCTCACATGGAGATTCAGAATGCAACTGTAACAAAAAATGTCCCTCCCCGGCCACTGTACTTCAGTTTCTTAGTTGTCCAGGTGATAGTTTCTGTTCCAGTTCCAGTTGCTTCTGTCTCTTAGAAACAGCTATTCACTGTGATGCATAGTTTGTCACTGGCATGTATATTCTGTAAACCAATCCCCAGTTGACAAGCCATTCTGCCTCTGTACGTCTCGCTTGCTTAACCCATATGAGCTGCAGACCACCAGAGATCAGGGCCTGATATTTGGCGATGACCCTGATCACTGCTCATCGATGCGAATAAATCTGCCTCCAAATCCTAGATGTTTGTTGTTCTGGTGCTTCTGCTTGCCCTTGAACAACCAGGAGTGTAGCTTCTGCTGCCATCAGGAAAGGTTGGGAAGGAGACAGTCAGTACCTTCGAGACCTACTCCTGTCCCTGCCTTAACTCTGAGGAGTGAAGATGCCCTGTCTGGGCATCCAAGGCCAGGTTGCCTCATCCCTCAAAGGAAAGCCTCTAGGTTTCTCTTCTTTCCAAGGTCACTTAGGGAATCCAGGTCAGCCTAACATCTTAGACCATAGTTTTCTCATATCAGCAACCCTAAGGAAAAAAATGCTGATAATAAATTTTCACTTGTCTTGAATACAACCCTACCCTAGGGGAAAACATAAGTCTTTTTTTCCTTGAATTTTTCTTTAGAAGTAGCCAAATAAGAAGAAGTATTATGATTGCTGAAGAGTTTTGCCACCCAAGGACTCCTGTTCTGGAGTCTTGTGAGGGAAGGAGCCAGACCTTCCAAGAAGGAGTGTGTTTGGGCTGTCATCATAGTTCACCAGTTGCAAATAGTAATGGAACCAAGTTTGGTGACTGAAAAGGAAAATGGAATATGAAAACAAAATGAAGGAGGCCTATGAAGCAAGCATGTCATTTCTAAATGAAGGTTTCATGCAAAGGAATTGAGTCTTTTCACAGCTGAAAATGGAATCTTTAAATAAGATAAAATAAAAGGATGTTGTATCTTGTTGCTGGTTCTGTAATGAATACGGTTTTCCTAATATGGTGTGACCTGCATTTCTCCCTGCTTTTGGGGTGCTATTCCTTGGCGCACAAACCTGTATTTTCTCAAGTCAGCATTTGATGATGGATGTCAAAATACAGGCTATGTATTATGCATATAGCGTTACCGATTTAAGGTGTTTACTTGTCAAGTCGAAGAAATTCACAAACGTCACATCCACTGAATCTGCACAGCTGTCACCTGCAGTTTTTCATGCCTTTGAGTGAAACTTCTGATGAAAACAGTTTAGTTTCCCCCTTCACTGTTTGAGGGGAGGGAAACAGCCGGCATTTACAACGTGTGCTCATGGTTACGTGGTTGGCCAAAAAACACACCTTCCAAAGCTTAGGAAGATGGATACTATTATGTCATTCAAAATGACTTATGTTGTTCAGAGTATGTTAGTAGGAAGAATAAAATTGAGTGCAATCAGGGAATCAATAATAAGAAAAACTTTGTTCTTAAAATTATAGCACTTAATATGAAATATATACACAAGAGAGAAGAAAATAAACTCTTTTATATTTCTCTGGCATTTCATGCATTGTACACCTCCCAAGCAACAGGCAATTACTGAACACTTGCCATTTTGTTTCGGATTCACACACAGCCCAAATGTCAGATTTGGCCCAATCTTAGCACATTCCTGGGGAGTACATCAGAAATCTGGTCACATTATCAACTTAGAATGTTGTCCAAGAAAGCCTAGCAGTGATAGGCCCCCCAATACCCTGATAAGTGCAAGTAGCAACTCACTGAGGACAGAGAAGAGACACCAAAGTGACTAAGCACAGCCCGTGCTCCCTGGTGGGGGAGCAAATAGAGCCTCCCGGCCCACATGGGGTCTGTGGTTCCAGTCCCCTAGCCCTATGCCTCATTTGGAAAAGTTAATTTCCACCCAATAAATGTACTTGGCAAGCAAGCATCGGAGGAGTCTGCATCTCTACAAAGAAGCACCTACCAGGCTTAGCTGGGATAATTTCTCCTTCTTATTGAGCCTGAAGCTGTGAGGGGTCCACCTCATACTAATAGGTAATGAGGGCTTGGTTCCTGAGACCCAAAGAAGCCCAGAGTGCAAGATCCCGAGCCAAGCAGTCCACGTTTCAGCATCCTTGTGTCCACAGGGGCACCCTCTGTCTCTGTTGAGCACAAGATTTTCAAAGGAGTCAATCTAAGTTAGCAGTATACACATCAGTCAAGAGGATGTGAGCAGCAAGTAAAGGAAATCCCTTTTCAATTTGGCTTAAACAAAAATATTATATTTTGTATGTGTATAAGTGTTATATTGTGTGCAATGCGCATGTTTATTATTCATTTATCAATTTATTATTCATTTGTCAATTTAGAATTCATTTATAAAACCTCTTATATAAGAATCCTATCATAGGGTTGTTCCAGGGTGTTTTCCTAAGAAACTCCAGGGCAGTTCTTTCTATTACTCAGTTCAACCAATATTGTCAGGGGGATTTTGTTCTCAGGCGTGTTTATTTTGCTTGCAATATGGCTGCCACAGGTCTGCGTTACATACCGTAAACAATCATGCATAAAGCAGTAACCAGAGGGGTACAAGAATTGCTTCCTAAGTGCCCTCCTTTTTTTTTTTTAAAGAGAAGGCAAGAATCCCTAAAAGGCCCTAAGGAGAGTTCATCCCCATTCCACTAGCCAGCACCCAATTTTGCAGTCCACTCGTTGGCAAGAGGATCAGTGATTAGTGGGTTCAAGGTAGCAGCTAGGAGAGGTTAGGTTATAGAGCAGCGACCACCACAAATCCCACTGACTTCAAGGTTGGCAGCTGTTGCATGGATGTGGGTAATGGCTGGGGCCTCTGTTCAGGCTTCGTGTCCACAGTAGCCAGTGTTCTCACAGTTGGCGTGGCTTGGGAAGAGAAAAACAGCGAGTCAAATACCTGCCCAGAACTGATACTCATTGTTCTGCCTGTCATATATATATATGATATCTGTCTGTCTGTCTGTCTATCTAGACTTTATCTTGGAAATGTGAATTGTTAATCTATAAATAATGTGTGACTTTGTTTTGTTGCATTTGTGTGGACTATACTCTTATTTCCAAATTACTCACTTCTCTAATTTTCTCCCTCCTCTCTTGCTTTCCCACTAGGTTTCACACCTCCAGGGATGGATAGATCCTCTCCAGATAACAGCCCAGTGCATGGGATGATACGCCAACCATCCATCACGACTGGGGTGAACATCCCCATCATCACTGAACTAGGTAGGAGTCACTGTCACTTCTACAGGGTGGAATTTTTCTTTCTCCTCCAGACCATGCAGGATATGAGAGATTGGCCTGTGCCTCAGTCCTTTTGATCTCCTTGGCCCTAGTGGGGTTGGTTTGGGGAAGTTGCAGATGGACATGAGTAACAGGACAGATCACCTGAAGGAAAAACTGATCTATCTTTCCTCTGGGATGAATAGACAGTTTCCTTAAGGCTGGGCATTGTTCCAAAGGAGCATGAGATGATGGCTTTGAAAGTAGGACATATACTTGGGAAAGGGGAAGGAAAGCAACAGCTTAGATCCTGGGTTCTGTCTGGTGTCTTTTCATGGGAGCACCTCCTGAGTGTTCTTTGGCCTGCTCCTATGATCTAAGCCCCCTGCTAATATGCAAAACCCCAGGACTACTCCAACCCCACTCTGAGAACTGTTCAACGCATTGGTCTAATGTGGAATGACTTTGCATTTAGCCCATTCTCTTTGAACTTCTCAGTCAAAAGCCATTTTCAGCCAATGGCAACTCTGCTCCAAAAAGTGATGGGTTTATGAGTTCCATAACCATTGGCCAATGGGAATCCAATTTCTGGGATTGGGCCAATGGGAATTCAGTCCTGTCCATGTCACACCTCGCTACTCTTTGTGAATTTACAAAACAATGGTGTTCTTTCCCCAAGACTAATACAAATTTCCTATGGTCCTGGGTGTCTAAACTTTAGAATTGTTTCCTGTTATTCCCTCACTGTTTTCTTTTTCTGTACTTTCCTCCAATCCCTCTCCCCAACCCTTAAATGCCATATCCCAATTAGCTAAACCGGGCAAGTTACCTTTGGTATCTGTCAATCAGGAAAAAAACAGTGGGACGCACATTCTAATGATAACTGAACTGGGTAAGAAGCACTGTTTTCCTTGACATCAGTATCTCCTTTTGTTCTGTTCTTGGTGTTTCCAGCTATCATTGGCTTGTTTATTTCACTGGCTGTAACAGAAAGGCTACCCCATGGCACTGCTTTGAATGTGTTTTATTTGTGGCTCTGGTTGGAATCGACTGTCTTGTTCTGGCCTTTCTTAATGATTTTTTTCCCCCACACAGCATCAGTAAACCTTTGATCACACCCATCTGACCTGGCAGCTGTTTCCAAAGCATCTTTGCTCTAATTCATTTTCTGTGGCCCAAACCTTTTTTTTTCCATGCGTGCCCCTGATCCCCCGCCTTCTCCCTATATTCTTCTTCCAACATACTGTCAGTTTGACTGACATGTCTTCATAGCTCTCAGAGGAAGTCAAAGGAGAAATATAAAAATTTTAAGATAAGAAACCTAAGACGGTACCTTCCCTCCAGCTGTTTATTTTGCTTTATACTGACTTTATTTGCGTTTCTTTCCCCCTCCTAGGCCCTTTCTCAGAAGCTCTGGTTCTGAAGCCATAAAAGCACTTTGTTCCTAGGGGACCCTTTCTTACTAAAGCCAGATTTCCAGAAGGGTGCAGCAGACAAAGTCCATAGTCCTGCACTCTGACCCCACCTCCCTGACCCAGAGTCCTCTCTGGGAGGTTCACAGTGGATTCGTCTACAAGATAAAGGCCTCTGGTCATGACTGCATTTGTCAGACCCTTCCATGGTTGCCCATGACTTGGTTAATAACTCCATGAAGGGCACCCATCAGCAGCAAGTCTCTGGGCTGGGCATTGATCTTCTAAATAGAGACAGTGAAAGTGCAGCTTGCCACAGGAGTCACTGGAGAGGCAGGAGGCACCTGCCTTTGAATGACTGAGAAATGAAATGAACACTCCATTTTCTTGGCCCAAAAGTATATTTCAAAATAAGAGAGCAGGCTTTTAACACACAGATCTTGCTCATGAGGTGTCCAGAAACTAAGGAATAAATTGCCCACCGTTCAGCATTGCATTACTGTAGACATGGCTATTTATCAGTGCAGATTCACTCAGGTCAAGAGGGTTGCACTGTTTTCTGCGCCTAGCCATAGGAGAGGTATCTTTCTCATGTTTAGTGTGGTTGGCTGGAAGCCTGGGCTTTGAGATTGGTCTTGTCAGAACCACAGGGCTGTGGAGACTCAGGGAGCTCATGTGGACCAGACCACTGGTGAGAAATTCAGCCAAACATTTCCATCCTGAAATCTAACAGCAGCCTTCAAAACATCTGTGCCAAGGATTTTTTTTTTCTACTTGGAATTCATGTTCTCAGTAATTAGGAAACCCTGTGTGGTGATTAGTGTGAGAGGAAAGAAAAAGCTCACTGCCCCAAATCAAAGGCAACAGTTCAAGTGTTCAGTAAGCATAACTGGCTCTCCTTACGTTTCGCACTCTTGAGATTTCTTGTGTTCTCCAAGCCTCTCTGGGCACGTACTACTCTTATCTTGTGCCTGGCTCCCTATTTCTCTAGTAACCATTCTGTAAGAACTTTTACCATATCACCTACCACAAATATTTACTCTTTACCTGCCTGTTCTGAGATGTGCCTTATATTATACCTGGCCAGCAAAAGGACCTTGAAAAAACAGCCAAGACCAAACAAACTGTTAAACTATATAATATGGCCAGCTGTCATGGCGTACTCCTGTCATCCCAGCACTAAGAGCCTGAAACAAAAGGATTGCCACTAGTTCAAGGCCAGCCTAGGCTACATGGCGAGTTCAACACCAGCCTGAACCATACAGCAAGACCCTGTCTCAACCTCCCCAAATATAAAGATTAAAAGACCCTTATATAGTATATTCTAGTCTTCATCTACCTGGAGACTTGCAATCCATGTTACCGTGGCAAAGATTGCTAAAAGTTTCAGAGGAAAGAAGTTGTTTAAAGCTATTTGACTCCTTTTTCCCAGTTATGGTCAGCCACATGCAACTTGGGGCGGTGTTTTCATCCTGTGTTAGAGCTCACATAATCACTGCTTTATGAAAGAGGCCTTCAGTAACGTTGGCTGTTCTCTTTCTGAGGAATCCCAGAACAGTGATTATAAGATTGTCACTGAACCTTGACGAGAGCCTTGGAGTTCTTCTCCAATGATCCTCCTTCCTTGTCATTGAAGATCTGGAGTCTTTTCTCCTAGTGGGAGCCACTTTGCCTCTCAGTTATGAGACCATCCCTTCCCCATCTCTTGAAAAGAGGTGACAGATGTTGCTCCCTTTGGCGTGCTCATGATTACATGATTAATAACCATTACACACACATTGCACACAGTCGCCAGCTTACACTTTTTGATGAACAAAACAGAAACACTAACACAACATAAATTGTTAAAAGTCAAAATTAAGTTGAATCTCATCTGAAATCTTCACTGGCTCCATTTGTGGCTCTAGAATGGAGCACTACTGAAGCCAAAAATGGTTCAGAATGGGCAGGTCATAGTAGTTAGTGAAAAGGAAGTAGTGGAGGAAACAGAAGAAAAGCGCCAAGTCACTCTGATTGGTGACAGGTCGTATTTGTCTGGATGGATCAGTTCATCACTTGTGGTTTGTTGAGATGCAGCTACTTATTACAATAGGACGCTATAGTTTGTTTGAATCATCAAGTAAGGTTGTAGTTCACTATGTTTGAAGACACATTTGGGACTAATTAAAAATACGTATGGATGCCTCTTTCATCCAGACTGTATTCAATTTAATAGGACAAACAGAAGAAAGTGAGGAAAAACTATCATTTGAAGGATTTATAAGCAAACAATTAGTGTTTTTGAGAGAGGCAGAGGGAAGCTGGGCATTTCCATAATGAGATAGATTCATAGGCATTTAACGTGAGGAAGGTATCATGGTAATAGCCTCCGTCTGTCTAGTGCACAGCATGATCCGTACACTGAGCCAGACTCACCAGGCCTTTAAATAAGTTAAAGACATCTGAGTGACACAACTCATGAGGGAGCTGCCTTAAAATTCCCATTTTAGTGAGAGGGAACCTAGGGTTAGGATCAGAAAATGCTTTGCTCGAGAAGACTGGTAGTAGAGTCTTGAATCAAAAAGCCCAGCCATCAAAGCCTGGACTTTGGACTTCCTTCCCCTAGCTTGCAGCTCACAAGCTGCTGAAACAATGAGGACCCAACACAATGTACTCTGGGAAGACAGAGCAAAGAATTCCCACGTGAGAGTCTTCCTGGAGTGAAAAAAGTGGGTGTCATGTAAAAATAATTCCACGCTTAGCCTTTTATTGTATGATCATTTATTCTGCCTCATACAATAAACAAACAAAAGTTTTTTTTTCAAAAAACTTGTCAAGAAACTTACTGTAAAAAATTAAAACAATAACCCCAAGAAAGCGAATTAGCAGCTGATACATTTCAAAAGGAATCAGAGAAAGGAAATCTCATCTGTTCTCTTTCTAAAAGCATGATAATTATTCCCGAAATCACAAGTACCCCTCTTTGCACTGCCCTCCCCCTACTTCCCCCATTACTTGCTCTGCAAAAGTGGTAATTTCTGAAGCCAAGATGGGAATGGAAATTAATTTGTCATTTAATTTTTAATAAGTTAAAGACATCTGAGTGACACAACTAATCAGTCTGCATGTGTGCGCAGAGGAGTCCTTGAGGAATCCTTGGATGGAAGTGAAATACAGCATCCAGGGCTGCATCTGCTTAAGCAGAAGAAGCAGAGAAAGATTGAGCTGTTTAGAAAGGAAAGGAGGAACGGGGGTGTAACCTTGCAGCTCGCAATGCAGGAAGTCTTTGTCAGTACGTGGCAGGAGACAAAGAGGGCTCCATCACTGTTGGAGGTCTCTGAGTGTCCAGCCAGTGGGTTAGGGTGCAGGGACACCAGGCCGTATGCCGGGCAGGCTGCGGGTCATCCCCAAGGGGCACACCTTGCAACACCCTCACTGTGCTTCTGTCCATTGCTCTCTCCTCTACGTTGCTTCCTTTTCTTTGTGGCTCAGTCTACCATCCCAGCATGGCTACTTGTCATTGAAATATGCCCATTTCTCAAAGGACATGGCTACCAAACTGCTCCAGAGTGTTTTTCGGTGATGATTCTAAAACTGTACCAAAGAACTGGCCATTGCTGTCCACTCGTCCTTCAGCAGCCTGCCGTGGGGGCAGCCTGCTCGACAGCATTATTCTCCAGATCTCAGAAGTTTGAATAGTCCCACAGGAGCAGTCCGTTGAGTCCTGCTGCCCCCCCCCCCGCAGCCCCCAGTCCAAAGACCCATCAGCACCTTCCCCATGCTTTTATTGCCTTTGTAGTGACTTCAATGTTTCTAAACCAGTTATCTGGTCTTTCTGTGGCTTTCTTGCCTCTGTGGGGTCTTTGGGGCTAATTTTAATTTTATGGTTTTTTTAGTGAATGATACCAATGTTCAGTTTTTGGACCAAGACGATGATGATGACCCTGACACAGAACTGTACCTCACTCAGCCCTTCGCATGTGGGACCGCATTTGCCGTCAGCGTCCTGGACTCACTCATGAGTGCGGTGAGTGATCCAGCCCCCTCCAGCCCCCTTAGTGGGCAGAGTCTACGCCAGTAGATCACCTCTGAAGTAAGAGGCACTGGCTAAAATTGGAGCTAGAGTGGCATGAGTGTTCATCTTAATTGTTCCAGTGTAATCTGCTTAAGAACGACCCAGGGAACTAGTAAAGCACATTTCTGAATGTGTCTGGGTGGGCTATGGAACCTTGATCTTGGTTTGTGTTGTGTAATGCTTGGACCTTTCCTCTGTGGACTATCCTCTAACTGCCTTCTGGCTTCTGTGAATTAAGCTTTGTTTCTACCACACCCTTCCTCCATGACTAACCAATCTTGGAGCTGGGTGGCCATGGACTGGATCTTCCCAAACCATGAGCAGGATTAAACCTCTCCTTTTAGTTGTGCGTGTCTCCTCTTGTGTCTCAAAGAGGAAAAAGTTGCCTCCTACAGGAGGACAACAAAATGCCGTGAAGTCTTTGATTTTGATGAGTGTGTCAGCAGTCACCAGATGGTCCCACAAATGAGCAAGCATTTGCTTATAAAATCCTGATGGTGTAAGGAGGGCAAGAAGGCGATGACCAGGTTTGGAGGGTCAGAGAAAGAGTCTCCAGGGAAGTAGTTAATGTTAACATCTGCACCATGCAGAGGGGAGATTTTGTGGGGAGGAGTATTCTCTGCAGGAGAAAGGAAGCAAGTCAGAGCTTGGGAGAGAGGCTGTGGGGAAATTATCTCAAAAAAGGCAGATAGAGCATATGAGGTGGATCACAGGAAGAAAGGGACAGGAAGTACTAGTCAAGTGAGCTCAGTAGGACCACCAGATCTTTTTCATGGTTTTTATCTTTTTCTATGCATCAGTGAGGAGGAAGGAAGGCTTAAAGTTGGAGAGTGGTCAAATCAGGTGTGCATTATAAGGGGATTGCCTTCGCTGGTCTGTGAGCGGTGACCTGGACGGGCGGGATGACTGCAGGAAGTCTGTATGCGTCACCATATCTTGGACTAGGGTAGAGATGGATGGATTTGAGTAGTACTTACTGGTGAAATTGATAAGATGTGGGAATAGACTGAATATGAGCAGAAGGTAGAAAGGGCAGCATGGAACCCCTAAGTCCTTGTCTATCACCGAGGCAGGAGTGCTCAGGCGAGTAACAGGCAAGGGGAGAGACCCAGCCAGTTCTCTGTTGTGGAGAAGGGATTTAGCATAATGGTGGAGGCTTGAGGGCAGCCTGGCCAGAAAATCAAACCAGCTCTTGCTTTTTTTAATAGCTTCATATGGATCAAGGAATCAAGGTTTTTGTTTTCTCATTGTTGCAACCAAAAGCCAAATAACAATTTAAAAAAATGAATCTTAGCTCAATGGAACCATCTTCTACTGCAGAAGTGAAAAGCAGACATGTAGAATGGGTCGTAGCCTGTATGTTGTGAAGTATTCCCACTGAGCATCTTTATTTACTATACAGAAAATCCTCTTTATTCAGGAGTTTTCCAATTCACAATTTGTGAAAATGCAGAAATAGCCTGGATAAGAACTGACCTTTGGAGAATCCACGTAAAAGAGTTTTATTGAACACATTAAAACCATAAACATAACTCAGAGAGGTTTTATACACATACTTTTCTGAAACTGCTTAAGAAGGTTATTCTCTTGAAGGTGTTAAACAACTGATATGCTAATTATGCATTATTCTCATCTATTCATTAAAACTAATCCCTGAAGGACCTTTATTTGAAGAAAGAAAGAACAGAGCTTTTACTGAGTCATTTTAGCTATTCTGTATTCCTGAACACGGCCCGACTGCAAACATTTTAGTTAAAAATCAGAATTATGGATTTAAAAGTAATTATGAAATAGCATTCATCTGAATCAAGGTTGATGGGCTTCACACCATGCCAGTGCTTAAAGCCAATAAGAAAAAAAAAAAAAAAAAAAAAAAAAAGGTCTCTGGAACGACTCTCCTGGTGTGCTGTGGCACACTCCTGGCCTGATGGGCCGGCACTCGCTGGGTCGCCTTTCTACCTGCTGATGGTGTTGGGCTCAGCTTGGGCTCAGGCCTGGATCGGGCCAGGGGGGGATAACAGAAGATACGGAACACGCTTACGGAGTGCCAGTTTCCCTGCAATAAACCTCGTAGTCTCTAAATCCAGCTTCAAACAGACTTTTTTGTAATTCATCTCTTTAAAAATGTCATTTTAAATCTGATCTCATTAGAGAGATTGTGGAAGACTGTTCTTGCTAAGAAATGATTAAGCTGCTTATTGTAGATTTTTTCCCCAGAATTAGAGAATACCGTTAGCATTTTTAAAAAATATATTTATTCAATTATTTGTATGTGTACATATCACATACGTGATGTATTCCAAAAAGGACCAGCTGTATATTTTGGAAGGCTATTTTATTTATAAATTATTAATATCAAAAGGGTGACAGCAAAGCATTAAGCCAAGTGGGGCTATTTCTCAGCATAGACCTTAGGTACCTACTGAGGTTGAATACCCATGAAACTAGCCCACTTTCAAGGAAGCAACAGAGAACTTCTTCATCACCAAAGAGAGGTGTGGGCCCGTGGTGTGGAGGTGGGGGCACAGCTGGGGTCGGGTTGCCCGTATGTCTGTGTAGAGCATCACTAAGGAGTTAGTTCTCGGATACTCAGACAGGAAATCAAAATGAATTGGCCAGAAGTAATAATAATTTTTAAAAGTCAATTTATATATATTTTTTGAAACACAAAAACAGGTGTGTGGGACAGGGTGGTTAATAGTCTGAAAGGAGCATCTGTCTCCATCCTAGCTTTTTTGGGGGGGAAAGATGTCAGGAATCTAGTACCCGTCATTGTGTTGATCAGCGCCAACAGCATTTATTGAGTGTCCTGAGGTGTATGAGGCCCTTTACCCATGTGATCTAATCTGTTGGCCAACACTGTGGATAAACATAGTTTACATATTAAAGCAAAAATGGTCTGAGGACGTGACTTTCCAAAGCTGTAATCAAGATGCCTCTCAACCCATTCGAGACCCTATTTTCAACCGTCTGGGATGCACGAGTTCCACAGTGAGGGTTTCATTCAGGACTATTTCTCCAGACCCAACTGGCTCCAGACCTTTTTGATAGAGTATTACCTTGACTTCTTAGAATTCTACTTCAACTCTGATTTATGAATAAGATCAATTACCCAGGCAGTAGCTCGAAGGAGCTAAAAAGGCTGGCAGGAACATCACGCGAGAAAATGAGGCTCCTCTGCGCAGCAGGAGCCGGAGGTGAGCTTCCGGCGCAGGCATCTGCTCACAAGCACCATCACAACAGCCGCACACAAATCTCTTTCGATGCCGACGACCTCCTCTCTCTAGCACTCCTCCCCAAATTGCCATTTAATCATGTGTCTAAACATTCTCTGCATATTGTCCTTCATAACTCAACTCCTGCTGCTTACTGCTTCATTTGTTAAGATAATAATGTTTGGATTCATCAGAGGCATTCCTGGAACAGACAGGGATGTTACAGACATGGCCTTGTGGCTTCAAACTGCAAATCAATGGCAGAAGCCCAGGATACGAAGGAGAGAGTGATTATGCTTGTGAGTACCTGCCTCCAAGAAGACAGTCGCAACCTAGAAATGCGCTTGTCAAGATGTTCCCAGCTCGCTGCTCGCTTGCACCCCCACCCTGCTCCTATATGAAGCCTGTCTGTGTTTGGGCCTAAAACCCGCATCTGAGTATTCCGATTTGTTTCCCACCCAGCTACTCCTTCTTCCCAAGAACAATCCCAATGTATGTCCCATCAGGATATGCTGGAGAGAAAATGTGAGCCCAAGAGCCAGCCTGCTTGGATGCAGAGCCTAGTGCCCAGTTTCCTGGCTCATCTTTAGAACGGGGCTGATAATCAGTCCTTATCCCGTAGGATTGCAAGATGAGTCAGTGGTTAAGGCTGTAAAGCAATCAGGGTACTTCTTAGCCCACAACTAGCTCTCCGTGTGTTTGTTGTGGTGATTGCTCTTAGCTTATTCATTTATTGGGCACTTATTGAAGGCCAGGCACTGTTCCCCGTGCTGCACATTCATCATAAAGAAGACCCTGCTCTCCTGTGAACTAGCCTTGCCTGTTAGTGAGCTGGGTTAGAGACAGTAATTATGTAAGGAAATACATGAATAATGTCACATGAGGAAAATGGATTGAAGAACATAAGCTAGTTTGGACTATTTTACATCAGGCCATAAATTAGGCCTGGTTGACCAGCAGTCCTCACAGGTCTTTTCCACAGTGTGGGGCTCAGCTGTGTCCAACCATCAAATAAGGATGTAGTAGCGACCCTTGATAGCTTTAGGGTAATTGGAGAGGACAAAGATACAGGGAGGATCTTTGTGTAACTACATAGACTTGTTATCTACACAAGTGCACTCATGGCCTTCCTTTGTAACACCCACGTATGCACACATATGCACATCTTACAGTGACAAGATTTGGGGCCGAGATGGGTAGATAAAGCAGGAATATCCTGGAGAAATGTTTCTACGTCCTCATCTCTAATAGTAGAGATCTGGTCTGGTCTTATCAGAAGTGGATGGGCGTATGCTGGTCACTAGAAGATGTGCCCATCTGGACAATAGATCCACCTGATTTAATGTCTAAGCTGTGCTTTCACTAGGTCCAAGCCCTAGATGGGCACGTGGAGCAAACAGTGCTTTGTCAGGACAAGCTGAGCCAGTCGTACAATTTCGGAGACATAAGGACATAAGGAAAGCTAGCTGTGGCCCTGCTCCTTCCGCTGCACTCGGGAGCATCCATCTCTCCTGCTCACAAGGAGCTGGCAGTGTCCTGGCTGTGCTGAGCGTTGGTGGCCGTGTCCACGCGGCAAATGTGGATGCTCTGCTGGACTCAAGGGCATATCTCTTTGCCATATTAGGCATAGGATCAGAAGGAAAATATCCAATCGTTCTCATCCCTCATGAAAGAAAAACACTAAAAATAAAAACCCACACCATGAAAACTAGCAAATATAAAAAATGGCAGCTATGA